TGGATTACAGAGTCTCCGTGGCGGCGGGGGCTTACCTATCCGGGTCTCTTTCCTTCCTGGGCTGGGGCCGGCAGAGAGCGATTGGAGATGCGGATGTGGCTGTGGCTGTGGAAGTGGAAGTGCAGGTGAGGTGAGGTGGCCATGGAAAACTGATGGCCGGTGGAGGACCGTTCGTTGGGGAGAGGTGGTTGTTGGCTGGCTGGCTGGCTGGCTGGCTGGCACCAGGCGAGAGGCTCGGTGCTGATTACTTCCCAGCGGGACTTGTACTTCGTCGTTGCGAGAGCGTCGCTTTCAGAATCAATATCAATATCATGCATGCCCTTCTGTATATCCAGCCTCTTCAGGTCAACATGTACGAAAGCAAAAGGAAGAGAAAAAGAGAGAGAGAGAGAGAGAGAGAGAGAGAGAGTATGCTCCGTAACGCAGCTAGCCAGCTAGCACGTCCGCCCGGCCTCCCCTTTGTTTTACTCACTATTCACTATTCAATACCGTACTCTACAATACCCTACTCGAACCGAACCGGACCCACGAAGAAATAAGTACTGCCGACCTAGGTATTCCACCCTTTCGATCCCGCAGCCTTCATTCTTCCTCTCTTCCTCTCTCCCTCTCTTCCTCTCCCCCTTCCAGACTGGGACCTTTATACGCTGTACCTACCTACCTACCTACCTACCTACTTGTATATCCCAAACACCCCGCACCAGACCCTCCTCCGTCCCAGGCGCGTGCTCGTCAAGCTTTTTTTTTCTTCTTTTTTTTTTCTTTCCCCTCCCCCGTTGCCCTGTCGGTGGTTTCTTCTTCTTTGACTGACCTCTTACTACGTACTTACCTCGTACGGTAAGGGGTCGCCGGACGGAGGGTCTGAGGGGGTGTGGGGGTTGCGTGCCGGGCAAGTACCTAGGTAAGTAAGTACCGAGTGTGTGCGTGTGCGTGTGCGTATGCGTGTGCGTATGCGTGAGTGGGTGTTAGGTGTAGGGTGGAAAGCTCGTGTACGTACCTATAGTACCTTACGTACCTGTACCTACCTAGTCCTATCTACCTATACCTAGTCCTACCTACCGGTACGTACTACTGGTACGTACTACGTACGTATATACGGTACACGCAAGTCCGGCTTGAATCCTAAAAGCGCAGGGTATCGTTTTACACCCGACCGATGCGAGGCGAGGCGAGGCGAGGCGAGGCAAGACGGACAGGACCTAGGTACCGGGTACCGTACCTAAGGTACCTACCTACCTACACTTCACGAACTAACGATGCGGAAACAAACAAGACACCTTTTTTGCTGCAACGCGCGATCAGATCCGGGACTTTTGGGTTTGGGAGCTCTAGCTAGGTAGGTATGTAGTAGTATGTATCTCCGAATGCGCGGATCGAGGTAGAAATCGGAATCGGAATCGGATGAAAGAAATCAAATGGGTACAAGGTATCTACCTACTGCGTGTCAAATGAAAGTACTACATGGGGAGGTGAATTCAATTCAATTCAATTCAATTCAATTCAATTCAATTCAATTCCAGTAATGCCGGGAGAATCGGTGAACCAGCCACGTACCCCTAAACAGGGATGGTCGAGCCCTGTGACGAGCCGTGTTACCTACCTATGTCATGCTGCTGCTGCTACTGCTGCTGCTACGTGCGTACTACCGGTACCGGTACCGTATGTGACTGACTGCGTCAAGATTTCGCTCCCGTGGAAGCGCCCCGGTGCTCGCTCACGTGAGAGGTACGGACGGAGTCGCTACGAATCATGACAATAAATGGCAAAAAAAAAAAAAAAAAAAAAAAAAAGGACTGACTCCAGAAGCGAAAGCGAAAGGGGAAAGGGGTACAAGTACCGGTAGATTGCAGTATGGGATCCACGCACTACCAGGAGGATACATCCGGCGAGCCGACTGAATCAATGCTTGAGATTCACAGGAGAGTTGATCCTATTGTGTACCTTACTGTATCTACCTATTCCGCAAGTCACGCACGATCTGGAAAGGGGAAAAGAAAAACATGGGCGGCGTCCGGATGTGGCGTTGGCCGTGGCCGTGGCCATGGCTGGCTGGTTGGCTGGTTCGGTCTAGCGAAACGGTCTAGCGAAACGGTCGTGAAAAAAAGCCACGAACGGCGGCGGCGGTGGCGGCGGTGGCGGCGGGCCTTTGACCTCCGTGTCTTGTACTCACTCTTTTAGCCTGGCATGGATCGATTGATGGATAAGATGGAGAGACATTCGGGTTAATTTTTTTTTTTCTTTTTTTTCCGCACGATTTGCCTGATCTCGACGGGTAGACAGCGCGGCGGTTATTTCTGTCTGGGTCGGGGTGGGTGGTGCCTGGATAGTGGTTGGTGGGTGTTCGACGCACCGAGCTTGCCTGGGAAGGGAATGGCATGGCATGGCATCCGTGGCCAGTTTCTCCTTTTGTTCGCATCGCTCGGTTCTACCTACTTGTACTTGTACGCCGTCCAGGCACAAGAGGCTCGTGTTGTGGGCTTCTGTGGGGTAGGTTTACCTTTACCAAGGGAAGTTTGAGTAAAATGTGGAAAGGTAACTTGAAAGGGAGAGAGGGAGAAGGAAAGGAGAGGAGAGGAGCGGAGAGGAGAGGAGAAGGGAAGGACAGAAGAAGAAGAGAGGAAGAGGGAGAAAGCAGCATATAGACTGGTCGGTTTACTCCTCTGCTTCGGCTGGGTGGAGTTGCACGGCGTGGAATCGAGCCGGGTCTGCGCCGTATAAGATCAATACTTGGGGATGCTGCGTTGGCCGGATGGACTCGGGGTTGGACCTGGCGGTCGATACTTGATACACGACCGCGCGACGATCCCGAGAAGGGCCAAAGTCTCATCACATACCGACCCTATGATTACGGGAGCTGCAGGAACCGGAGCCATACTGTAATATTATCGTCGCCAAATCCGCGGGCATCTGAAACCGTTTCGTCTCAGACTGATCGTTCGCGGATGCAAGCTCAGATACCTCGGTATTAAGTAGGGATCCGAAAAGGGGCAACACGTACGAATGAATAGGAGTGAGTGCTATTAATAGTATATCGTCCTGCTGCTGTGCTCGGTTTGCCGGGTCGAGTCCGCGTAGATGGATGGTGCTGGGAATGCTGGGACTGCTGGGACTGCTGGGACGGATTGGTCCTGGTTGGTACTGGTACCGGTGCCGGTACTGGTGCAATCAATTAGACTTGCCGTACGACTTGCTATTACGGAGCTTGTAATTGTACGAGGGAGCCTCTCGGGCTCCGGAGCTGGAGCTGGAGCTGGAGCTGAAGTTGAAGTGGAAGCTGAAGCTGCAGCTGCAGCTGGGAACTACCTACAGATACTGTAGGTAGGAGCTTCGTGTCCACCCATCCACCCCCGATGCATGTCAGGTTGATCTGATGTGATCCGATTTAATGAATCTCACTCGACGAGGCAGCGTGAATGAACGTCATGCTGCTTGCTGCTTGATGCTTGATGCTGGGCTTGGAAATCTTCAAAAGGGGAGTGGGGGAGGAGGAGAGGATCAAAATCCCGCGGCCCTCCCCCGCGTGCTGGTACGAAGTCATCTCGGTCCCTCGATCCTCATCACAAAGAGCCGTCGCCGTCGCCGTCGGGCTTGAGCGGGTTGGCGAGGTGCGCGAGGTGAGCGAGGCGAGGCGAGGCGAGGCGAGGCGAGGCGAGGCGTCGGGGAGGATTCGAGAAATCCACCAATTGGCCGACGCGATACACAAAGAATGCGGTGGCAGGTAGAGAGAGCGTTGAAGCCTTTGTGAGGAGGAGAAATCAAACCCCCTTCTTTGAGCTACGCTATGGTGGTATGGTGCCGGGTATGCAAGATCGACCTGAGTGTTTATTTGCCTGAATATTCATTCCCATGGACTTGAAGGAAGAGAGGGTCCGAGGGAAATGCAGACTTTCTCTTTCTCATTTGTGATTGATATACGAGGTATGAATGTATATATATATGTATATAAATATATATAACTACTTACTAGCGTACTTAATCCGTCACATCTTATTTACTTTTTGATTATTTACTTCAAGGGCTTTGCTCTCCTTTCATCTTTCGCCTCTCTCTCCTCTCTCCTCCCGGATCGCCACCTCGACCCGGCTGAAACCTCCCCCCCCATCCCCCAAAAACTCCTTCCCTCCTCCAGGACTCGAGGACTCTACGGTAGGACATCCGACCTGGTCCTTGCGCCTCTCCTTTCCATTTCCGGTCTAGCGTCATTCGATCGAGACCCACCCTCCACTCCACTCCGCTCCACTCCACTCCACTCCACTCCACTCAACTCCACGCTCGCTACTCTACCGCCGACCCTCTCTTGGTATTATTCACGTCTCCTTGTTGGATACAGATCCGACCAGGAAACTCAACGTCCACGACAAAAGAAACGACGAACAACCACAACCACAACCACCACCACCACCACCACCACCACCACCACCACCACAACCACACCCACCACCACAACCATCTCACCTCACCTCACCTCACCTCACCTCACCTCACCTCACCTCACCTCACCTCATCCCCTCCTCCTCCTCTACCCTCGACCCTCTACTACTGCACTCCTCCTCGACGACGACGAGCCCATCCCCAACTCCCTCCCCCCCCGGCAATTCAATCATCGCCTGTTAATCTCTCCACCTGCTCCCCCCCCAATCTCATCGCCGCTCCTTGCTCTCGCTGCGTCTGCGTCTACGTCTGCGTCGAGCCCGCTCCTGGCGTTCGTGGCATCAGGAAGGGGCAATCGAAAAACTCCAGCCAAGCCAAGCCCTCGAGCCCCTTCTCTGTCCGTCAGCACTCGCCTCGATTCCACTCGGCCGGCGACGGTGAGAACACTGGAAGGGCTCACTCACTCACCAAGTCTCTATTCACTCGTTTTCCGCCCCCCGGTGCAGTCTCGCACTCGATCTGGCACTCTTCTGGCCTTCTTTGTGCTTCTCATCTGCCAACGCTCGCCCGCCCGCCACTAGTCGGCCAGATCAACATCGATCTCACGACTCTCCCCGGTCGTGAAGTTGATGGATGCCCAGCCGTCTTCCGCGAACCCACAGTATCAATATCTACAAGCTACACAGTGGTCGAGACTCGTTCGGCGCAACTCCCTCGCTGCTGTCGGTCCTAGCCCCGAGCATCCCTCAAGTCGTGCCGTCACATCTCAGCCCCCCTCGCGCCTCGATTTGATCCCTATCCTGCTTCCGCAGCAGCCATCCTACCACCTGGTCCAGCTCGCGGTCTACAACCGGCTCATATCCGCTGGGACGGCCGCACAGCTCCAGTCCTCGCCACTCCCGCCCCTACTCTCACCACAACACATTCAGGCTGTGCCTGGGCAGCGGTCCAGCTCAAGCGGCACCACGGCACGAATCAACAATTCTGCGGCTCGGGGTGGTCATGGGAATAAGGAGCAACGGAAATCCAGCATCGGAGAGCGTGCGCTCATAACGGAGAAGGAAGTAGCAGCCAAGATGCCGGGCAGGAAGGCCGAGTTGAGCCAACTCCCTATACGATCTCACCCACCAAACCACCGTCCATCTCTGTCCCAGCTGTCGAATTCCGTGCCCTCGACCCCTCACCAACGTGCCAGAGACTTCTCGGGGGAGTCTCGCGAAACCTCCCCCACCGCGGCGAGTAACCACTCGCCGCGCTCTGCATACTCGGAGTCGAATATCCCCTTGCCACCGAAACCCCACCCCAAACGGGTACCGTGCAAGTATGAGACCGCCATGGCGGGCACAAGACGGCGGATGCCCTACAACCTGGGGGACGAGCTGCTGGAGAAGGTCGATGATTCGAAACTCAAGGCAAAGCTGACAGCGGACGACGAGAAAACGTTGACCGCGGAGATGGAGAAGATGTACAACACCCTGCTTCCGACACCGAAGAGCGATCGGAATCGAGAAGCCATGTTGAAGAAGTTGGAGGACCTCTTCAATCGAGAATGGCCCGGGCACGATATCCGTGCGCATGTATTTGGATCCTCTGGTAACTTGCTGTGTACAGATGAGTCTGACGGTCAGTTGAGGCCTATCTCAGGCGATCGACTTTCACTGACAGCTCCGCAGTCGATATATGTATCACCACGGAATGGGATGCGATGCCGAATGTCTGCATGGTCGCGGACTTGCTAGCGAAGAGTGAGAAATCCCGATGGCTTGCCGAGAAGATACTGACCAAGGACCAGATGGGATGGAGAAGGTCTTGTGCATCGGGGGCGCCAAGATTCCGATTGTGAAGATATGGGACCCAGAGCTGAAGCTGGCGTGCGACATGAACGTCAACAACCCTCTGGCGTTGGAGAACACGCGGATGATCAAGACATACGTCCAGATTGATCCTCGAGTGCGGCCTCTCGCGATGATCATCAAGCACTGGACGAAGGAGAGGATAGTAAACGATGCAGGTAAGCGCGAACCACCCTCCCAACAACACACATCTCGGTCTCACATGTTTCCGTAGCTTTTGGCTGCACTCTCAGTTCGTACACATGGATATGCATGATCATATACTTCCTGCAGAACCGGAATCCCCCGATTCTCCCAGCTCTACATCAGCGGCCGCAAGACAAACTTCCTCGCCCGAATGGCGACGAGAGCGCATTCGCAGATGACCTACATGCACTAGCAGGATTTGGGAAGGATAATCAAGATAGCCTGGGGGATTTACTCTTCCAGTTCTTCCGCTACTACAGCCACGAATTTGACTACGAAAATACAGTCATCTCGGTACGGAGTGGGACGCATGTGTCGAAGGAAGAGAAAGGGTGGCATTGTTCGATAAACAACCGATTATGCGTTGAGGAGCCCTTCAACGTCGGACGAAATCTAGGGAACACGGCTGATGACATCTCATTTCGAGGCCTGCATATGGAACTGAGAAGAGCTTTCGATTTAATATCGGAGGGCAACTTGCTCCAGTGCTGTGAGAAATACGTATTTCCCAAGGTGGAGGAGAAGGTCTTTACGAGGGCAACAACAAAGAAGTCGTCCGCTGTGATTATGCGGAGTATTTCGACCTCGTCGGGCCGAGGCGGAGGCCGAAATGGGGGAGGTCATCGAGGGAATCGCAATAACAGCCAGTCGGGCAGGAACGGGAATAGCAACAGGCGATCGTCCGCCGGAGCGTTCGACCAAAATCACAACCCGGCCTATGTACCTGGTATGCCACCCAACAACTTCTCTTCTCAGGAGGCCTGGCTCCAACGTCAAGCGCAAGCGCAGCTGCACAACGACTTGTACGCCACTTACTCGGTGCTCCAAGCGCAAGAAAACAATCTGAGGCTCCAGCTATATGCGCAAGGTCTGCAGAATCAAGCCTACGCGCAATCTCAGGCCCAGGCCCAGGCCCAGGCCCAGGGACAAGCGAACGGGAGCACGGGCAAATCGCCCTCCTCCACACAGCGGAACCGAACCAGCTCCTTCGAACAAGCTCCCCTGACAGCGCCCTTACGCCCTGATATGTACTTCTACCCTCTGCAGTACCCACCGAACCAAATGTACTACCAGTCGCCCACCACGAATCCTTCTTCGCCTTCCTTGAGCGCGGCCACTCCCGATCTGAGACGAAGCATGCAACGTTCTACGGCGACGGATGGTTCTGGCCATGGACAACCCAACAGTGCTTTACGGTCACAGTCCCAGCCCGCTACACGCTCGGGCTCGTCGCCACTCGCTCTATCCGGAGGTGGGCTTGGCCCTGCCGGGCTTGGCATCCACCAATCCGCACGGCCCGTCAATGGAAATGCCGTCCCAAGCTTCATCTCAGACGAAAACCCCGAGGCCGCAATGGATTCGAGCTTTAGGACGCTGCCACCACCTCTGGACGGATCGCCGCCGAAGGAGTACGTTGGGTACTACGTTAATGATCCCGCTCAGCTCTGGCGAAGACAACACCACGCGATGCCTCGGCCAATTCCTACATTTGGTGATCTTGGCCAGGCACGGGCGCCCCCACGAAGATTATCCACCGAGCAGCTACCACAGTCTATATTAGATCGGCTGAAGAGGCCCTCACGGTCTCCGTCGCCCTTGGGTCACGAGCGGTCCTACTCCATGGGTGCCCCTTTCAGTCTAACCAATTCTCACAATGGCGTATCCAACACGAACCTGCGGGCCTTGAACAGTCAGACACCCGCGGTCGTAAACGGATCCAACCCACTACCCTTGTCGATTCCAAACTGGAGGGCTTCCATCAGCGAAGGATGCTTGTCTGAAGGTCGTGTTGGCGATCTGGTCGTCGGTCCTATGGACTCGCTCTCCCAAGCCTCCAGGACCGAGAGTGACACTTCGGGAGAGCACGACATGCCCGGGAATATGACACCTCGTGACGTTCGTCAAGACGGTCGAACCGAACCTCCAATAGTTGTGAATGGATCATCGCCGCTGAAGAAAGACGCTGGGCTTGCCGACCCTGTTTCGACCGCCTCGAACGGACATGTGCCGCTTCTAATCAATATCCCCAACGGGTTCTTGCCGGTCGATCTTAGCGGCTCACTCCGGTTATCGCCAAATGGTCGGAACCGATCGACCCGCCAGAACGGTGGTGTTTCTCCTCTTGACCTAGCACAGATTCAGGACCACACCAGAGATGACCTGAACCACCTGTCTCCTGTGTATGAGACCGGGTCTCCATCGCCGACAGCGAGCCGGAAGTTCGAGCCCGTGGAGAGGAAGATCACTGGCACCACCAATGGCGCTACCTGGAAGGGTGCCGAGCTTTACGCGAAATTCGAGAATGCTGGCCCAAAATCCGGACAAGCAAATGGACAAGCAAATGGACAATCAAACGGGCAGATAAACGGGCTCCATTCCGAGCAAGCCGCCTTCTCCAAAGTCAATGGTCACACTAGAGCATCGAAGAGTGAAGGTACAGCTGGTAACTGGCAAAAAATTACAAAATCTAAAAAGAAGGCCGAGGGGAAGACTACTGGAGAAGGACATCCTCAGAGCGAGAAGTTCCCGGCTCATGTGAACGAGCGCAAAGGAGGTTAGATCCGAGAAGATAACCCCTACCATGACCAATCGCCAGCCTCAGGGTCACCCGAGGGCTCTAACAATGTCGTGTCAATGGCTTTGATGATCGAGGTCTCTGACTGGACTCTCCTCTATCTCACGCGTGTTTTGGATCATAGTGGACTTGCTTTTGGAAACCGAGCTGGCAAGCTGACACAATCCAATGCTTTTGGCATCTTATTAGTGGTCTTCGTTCGGCGTTCTCAACAGCAATCGGCCATGAACGATTCCGGCAGCTCAAAAAGAAAGGAACGAAGCGGTTGAGATGGAGACTACTTGACAGGCACCAAACCTGTCAAGGTGCGTCGGAATATACTCTTGAAAGATGATGTGTTTGTGCTTTTACTCTGATGCATTTGCGAGCGCTTTGGGCTGGGAAAGGTCAACACCGACCTCTGGGTGCGAATTTTCCTTGTTGTGGTTTGCCAAGACAGGGGCTCTTTGGGATGGCTGGTCTTGATACACATTTACATGCACGCGTGGGGTTCTTTGGTTTGGCATAACCACCGGTTTCCTTGTTCTGGTTTTTTCTTAATTTGGGCGGGGGCACGATTACCCAACCTTACCCACAGGATGAGACGAGATGCGATGAGGAAAAAGACAGGGACGGCGGGGAGAGTGTAGGACCGAGTGGGGTCCGGTGTACGTTTATAAAGGCACCGCAGCGGGTAGGCTGCAGCGAGGAATAGTGATACCTCGACGGCATAAGTGCTTGTCTGATATATCAACGGATGAAAAAAAAAAATGAAAAGATTAAAAGTTATAATAAAGCCCGGGTTGTAAGACTGGCTAAGGAAGGGTGAGTCGCCTGGCACGATGATCGCTCATTTCCGAACTTTGAACTCTCAAGACATGATATCGCTCTGAGATTCTGAGTTCAGCCTTCTGGCCGTGTCCACTATCTACTCGATCATCTACTGTTCCCTGGAAAGATCGTAGTTCGGCCAATTGCTGCTGGTGACTTCCCAATGCTTAGTCATCAATCTCGAAATTCCGTAAGCGAACCTTTTAACCTCATCAACCTCCGAGTCCCATCAGGCTGTTCAACCCGGCCACCACGAGCCTAACACCATCACCGTCACCACCGACCGCATCTGTCCCTCTCAGAGATACGTACACACACACACACACTCTCTCTCTCTCGTTTAAAGTGTAATGTCGTCACGTTAAATTCCAACAAAGAACCCACAACCCAAAGCTCAAAACCACAACTGCAACCACTCTTTTACCAACCAGAGGGGGTAGGGAAAAAGGGAGAAGGGAAAAAAAATACACACCGGTTTTTTTTTTTAAGCACATTCTTTCTCTAAGCCATGGCTTCAACAACCGCCGCGCCCCTGAAGATCCTCCGCACCGCACACAACACGGCCGCCACGCCCCTCGCCCACCTGAACATCACAGCGCTGCTCTCCCCCGCCAGCACCGAGCCCCTCAACGCGCTACGGGCGCGTCACAGCCTCTTGCCCCTGCAGCCGACGCACTCGCTGCACCTCTTCGACGGATTCACGCCGCGGCACCTGGGGGCGTGCGCGGCGGCCGCGGCGCGGCACGCTGCCGCCCTGAAGCCGTTCCGGCTGCGTGTCGCCGAGCCGTTCCGCGGGGAGGGCAGCTGCGGGGAGAGGTATATGGGGTTTCAGCTTCGGGATGCGGATCCGGGGCCGGGGAACGGGAAGGAGTTGCGGCGCTTGCGGGAGGAGCTTGGGAGGGAGATGAGGTGGGAGGTTGGGCGGTGGATTGCGGGGACGGCGGGGGGCGGGGTTGGCTTGGGGAAGGGGAGGGAGGGGTGGAATTGGTTGGAGAAGGAGAGGGCGAGGGAGTGGATGTGGTGGAATGGGAGGAAGAAGTTTCGGTGTAGTTTTGCGGTTTACGTTGCGCCGGGTCGTGCTGGTGGTGGGGGGGCTCGAGCGGGCGAGGATGGGGAGGGGGAGAAGGAGGAGCAGGGAATCCTAGAGAGGGAGAGGGAGCAGCGGGAGGAGCGGGTTTGGAGGGAGCTGGTGGACTCTTACGAGATGGGGAAGATGGGCGAGGTGGTTGTAGAGGGGTGGAGCGTGAGTCTGGGCTTTCCGCATGAGGTGCGTCATGATCCGGGGTGGGTGCGGCCTGCCTACAGCTTCAAGGATGCGAAGTTTGGTCAAGGGCTAGAGAAAGAGAAAGAGTGAGCGTGAGGCCGAGGTCGTGTCTCATCCAAAGTCTTGCTCAAATGAAGCCGTTGCAGGAATCAGGGGGGGGAGTCGTAGCAGCAAGGGCGGTTCGAAAAACACAGAGCCAAACACGAATCTCGTCGGAGGGTTTTCGTTCCCACCCATTTCGCGTTAGCAGCGGAGCAGCCTTTGTATTGACAGAAAAGCGTTAAAAAAATGGTAAATAAGTTCAGAGGCTTTTATCATCTCATCTCATGTCATGTCAGCTCAGGTCAGGTCAGCTCAGGTCAAGCAAGCTGCTTGCTTGCTTGCTTGCTTCCCTGCTTCCCTGCTTCCCTCTTTTTCTTTTTCTTTTTCTTTTTCTTTTTCTTTTTCTTTCCTCTTTTTTTTTTTCTTCCTTCTTTTTCTTTCCTCTCGTCCCATCCCATCTCCCATCCCATCTCTCATCTCCCATCCTATCTCCCATCTCCCATCCCATCCCATCCCATCCCATCTCCTATCTCAACTCACCCCTCACACCGCCAAAGATCGCGCACGAAGACGGCGGCGATTCCTCACCACGCGTAATTCGTCTTCGTCGTTGCAATTTCCCGCCTTTTCTGCTGGAGCGAGCTTTGGTATTGATAATGTTGTTGATGTTGATGTTGATGATGGTTGTTGGTGTTGATGTTGATGATGTTGGTGGTGTTGATGATGATGATGAGAGAGATTTGGTGCTATGCTATGCTATGCTATCGCGAGATGGTGAGATAGTGAGATGGTGAGATGGAGAGATAGGGAGAGATAGGTACCAGTATCTTCCATCTTCCATCTTCCATCCGACCCCATCCCATCCCGTCTCGGCTCTTTTCCTTTCCTCTCGTCTGTATACACGTATACACACGTCTATACACCTATACACACGTCTATCTATAAATGAGAACCTTCCTTGCTTTGCTTTTGCTTTTGTTTTTCATGGTATGGTATATTCATATTGTATTATATTATATTATGTGATTCCTTCTCCTAGCGAACTTCTCCTCGCCATCTGGCCTGGAATCGATGGGTTTTACGGGATGGGGGGATGGATGGGTTCTACGGGATGGATTGATAAATGGATGGATTGATGGATTGATTGATTGATGGATTGATCGCAAGGTGTACGGTAAGTAAGGAGGCAAGACGGCTAGACCATCTGGATAGGTAAAAGAAGTAAAAACTCTCTCTTTTTTTTTCTTTCCGGTTTTTCTTTCTTTCTTCTTTTTTTTGGGGGGTTTCCTTTTCCTTTTCCTTTTCCTTTTCTCCAGCAGCGAAGAGGGGGAAAAAATGATTTATGATTAATGTTATTATTTATTGATGTTATTATTATTATTATTATTCACCGCCCGCGGTAGGTAGCAGATACGATATGATACGATACGATACGATACGATACGATACGAAAGCTCTTGATTGATAAGTACTGGCGCACGGCTCTTCGTAACTTGAGAAGAAAAGAAGAAGGTAGAAGGAGGAGGGGGAAAAATAAAAGAAATGAAAAGAAATGAATGAATGGATGGGCGGATTGCGTACGGAGGAGTACATGACTATGATTATATCACATCTGTACTGTACTGCACTGTACTGTACATGGATAATATAGAAAAGGAAAGGGATATACGAAGAAGGGATATAAGGGTTCTTGAATTGCCTCTGTTAGTTAGTTAATTGGTTATCCACTTCATTTGATGATCTAAATATGAACATGATTTCTCTCCCTCGCACCGGTTCGCAGCTGGTGAGTGAGTGACCCTTTTCGACTTTCGACTTTCGACTTTCTTGCATGTCGTCGAGCTTGAGAGAGTTGAGATAAGATGGACAGATAGATGGATTATGGCTGCGCTAGCGATGACTGTAACGGCCAGGCCAGCCTCGCGGCATCTCCCCGAACCGGCTAGCTACTTCGCTGTTAGAAGAGCCGGAGATCAGTAGGCGATTTTTTCAAGCCTCGAGGACATAACATGGGACACTATTTAATTACATCGTACAAATATTACGGTTATTATTGTTATTGTTGTTGTTGTATTTATTAACGTCGGGCGGGTAGCAGGCGAAGCCTGCCGCCTTAGGACCTCTTATAAGGTACGGCGACGTGCTAAGCTAAAGAGTTATATATAAAAAAGCTTTAGAAAGCAATTTAAAGTGTTATAGCGAAGGCTATTATCGCATACGCCTTTCTTTTATAAATAAAATAGATCATATAAAAAGAAAACCTTTTATTAAAAGAAAATTATAAAAAAAAGAGTCAAGCAAGTATAGACTGCTATAGCTAGCTAAAAGCGAGCTATTTACGTCGCGTAGCGATAAGAATCAAGGCCGGATTAAGGTTAATCGAGTATAAAAGAAAAAGAAAAGGAAAAGGTGAATACAAAAGCTTAAATTTTAAAAGAAAACCTAATATAATATATTAATATCAAAAAGAATTCCTTTAAAAGCGCATTACGCTATCTTAAAGTCCTAGTTTTATAACGCGATTAATCTAACGAGCTTTTATAGCTTAAGTAAAGCGGAGCGTATTCCGTTCTTTTTACCGGAGTAATATTAATTAATTAAAGTAGCACTTTTATCGAATGCAATGCTTAAAATAGAACTTCGTAATAATTAAGAAAGCTTAAAAATCGGCCGGATTATTAAAAAGACTTTTAAAAAAGTCGTAAGCTTTCGAGATCGTGCTCGAAAAGGTCCGCGATCGAGTCTTATAAAGCTAAAAGAAAAAGCGTCGCTGCGTAAATCGGCAAAAAGCTAAGTGCAAAAAAGACTTGCGTTTATCGCAAGGCTCAAGCATACTTTAAATTAACGTCGTAATGCTAAAACTTAATATAATATTAAGTAAAGTCTTCGTGCGTAATTCGAATCGCAAGTAGTTTATATAAGATATATCGTAAGAGTTTTAGCTTCGAGAAAGGCTTGATTAAGTATAAAAGGCTTTATTTTCGATACGAGCGTAAAAGCTTAAAAAAGCTTGCGCTTTATTAAGCTTTTCGTGCTTTATCTTATATATCGCGAAAAAGTATGCGGATGCCGTTAATCGTAAGTTGCGATGTTAAATTAATATCTTAATCCGATTTCTTTGCTTTTAAGTTTGCAAGCTTATCCGCTCGTTCGTTTCTTTTAATGCTTATATGTTTCGAAGATTATCGTATTCGTACGTTTCGAATCTTTATTACTTTTTAAACGTTTAAAAACGCTTATTACGATAATAAAAAAGCATTTTCGCGAAGATATTAAATAATTAATATACTATCGATGCAAAGCTAGATCCGTTTCGCTATCGAATAAGCGTGCATTATTAGTTCGAAGCCTTTTTATACTTTTATCGCTTTCGCGTTAAAAATATAAAAGCAATCGTTAATAAAGCCGTACTCGTAGCTTATCTTTTAACGTTTTTAATAGATTACGTATTTATAGCTTATTAATCGGTTGCTTTAATCGTATTATTTTAACTCGTCCGAAAAGATTATAATATCTTTTAGCAAAAGCTATTATTATTATGCTTCGAATGCGGCAGCAGCTTTTTTTTTTCGTTTTGCCGTTCGCCGGATCTCGTTTGCTTTTCGATATAAAATGCAAAAAAACAAAGCGAAAACGAAAAACGTTTAAAAAAAAAGTTCTTAATCTTTAAATCTTAATTTTAAAGATTTTAATAATTTTCGCGCCGCGATCGCGTTATCGGATTCGCAAAAGTATCCGGCTAACTAATAAATGCTTATTATTTATCGTTTTTAATTTTATTGCAAATTT